ATGCAGGGAGTGTAGTAAGAATGCAGGGAGTGTAGTAATATGCAGGAGTGCAGCACAGTGTCGCAGGGAGTGTAGCAGGCATGCAGGGAGTGTAGCAGTATGCAGGGAGTGTAGCAGGCATGCAGGGAGTGTAGCGACATGCAGGGAGTGATAGCAGGCATGCAGGGAGTGTAGCAGACATGCAGGGAGTATAGCAGATATGCAGGGAGTGTAGCAGACATGCAGGGAGTGTAGCAGACATGCAGGGAGTGTAGCAGGCATGCAGGGAGTGTAGCAGACATGCAGGGAGTGTAGTAGATATGCAGGGAGTGTAGCAGACACGCAGGGAGTGTAGTAGATATGCAGGGAGTGTAGCAGACACGCAGGGAGTGTAGTAGATATGCAGGGAGTGTAGCAGACATGCAGGGAGTGTAGCAGACATGCAGGGAGTGTAGCAGACATGCAGGGAGTGTAGCAGACATGCAGGGAGTGTAGTAGATATGCAGGGAGTGTAGCAGACATGCAGGGAGTGTAGCAGACATGCAGGGAGTGTAGCAGGCATGCAGGAGTGTAGCAGACATGCAGGGAGTGTAGCAGGCATGCAGGGAGTGTAGCAGACATGCAGGGAGTGTAGCAGACATGCAGGGAGTGTAGCAGACATGCAGGGAGTGTAGTGCATGAGCAATGCAGGGAGTGTAGCAGACATGCAGGGAGTGTAGCAGGCATGCAGGGAGTGTAGCAGACATGCAGGGAGTGTAGCAGACATGCAGGGAGTGTAGCAGACATGCAGGGAGTGTAGCAGATATGCAGGGAGTGTAGCAGGCATGCAGGGAGTGTAGCAGGCATGCAGGGAGTGTAGCAGACATGCAGGAGTGTAGCAGGCATGCAGGGAGTGTAGCAGACATGCAGGGAGTGTAGCAGACATGCAGGGAGTGTAGCAGACATGCAGGGAGTGTAGCAGACATGCAGGGATGTAGCAGACATGCAGGGAGTGTAGCAGGCATGCAGGGAGTGTAGCAGACATGCAGGGAGTGTAGCAGACATGCAGGGAGTGTAGCAGACATGCAGGGAGTGTAGCAGACATGCAGGGAGTGTAGCAGATATGCAGGGAGTGTAGCAGACATGCAGGGAGTGTAGCAGACATGCAGGGAGTGTAGCAGACATGCAGGGAGTGTAGCAGACATGCAGGGAGTGTAGCAGGCATGCAGGGAGTGTAGCAGATATGCAGGGAGTGTAGCAGACATGCAGGGAAAAGAAAAGAAGAGAAAAACTACAAAAAACGTTCAATAAAGTAATGCGCGTATGTGGAAATCGTCGACATTGCCGCCACCCGGTCATTTTGGGTCAACTTCTCGGCACTGTATCTTGGTAAGTACTGATCAGATTTTTTTTTTATTACCTTCACAAAAATGTACTCTTTAATTCTCTAAGATTTTTTTTTTTTTTTTTTTTTCAAAATTTCTTGGACACTGGGACACCACTTCAGATTTTGGCCTTGGACCCTGAAAGGGTTAAATTAACTGAAAAGCCATTACAGTGGAACCTCTGCTTGTGAACTTAAGAACTCCCCACCATGCTAACTTTTCAGGATACGAACCATTGTTTGGTCAATTTTTTGCTTCTGGATACAAATGAAATTTCAGGATGTGTGCTTTCCCCTCAAGGGAGGTTCCTTAACCCTTTGACTGTTGCAAGCCCATTTCTGAAACTGTCATGTCGCAAAAATTTTTTGCAAATTTTTTTTTCTTATGAAATGATAATCTTTTTCTGATGCTAGTGACACCAGAAGTACGAAATTTGATGGAAAACTTACGGATCTACACTCCTATGAAGTTTGCTATCTTGGCGATATATACGCATTGGCAATTTCACTGACTTTGAGCCCTATTTTCGGCCAATTCTCTTGTTCCAGTCGACGAAACTTATAGCTATTTCTGTAAACTCCATTTTTTCTATCAACTGAGTACAAGAAACAGCCCATTTACCGATTTCAAGTACCCAGTAAAGCAGTTAGAAATTGGCAATTTGGCCAATTTCACACAAATTAAAAAAGATGCCAATTTCAAAATAGGGTCCAGAATAAAAAATGCAGACATTCTTGGCACTAAATAACATATCCTCTGTTCATTAGTCATGCCTCCAGGCACTTCTTATATTACTCTTGCTTTCTATTTTGATTTTATGTTCACACAAAAAATTTACTGTTATTCAGACTACCGTTTTATTGTAAAAATGGTATAAATAATATCAGTGCACTAGTGAAAGAATATTAGACTCCCCAGTTGATGTGTATTGAACGTGTGGTGTAATTTGCTTACTCTTGAACATAGGTAAAAATCGAACATTTCCACTAATTTGAGCTCAATTTTAAGGTCGTTTTCATTGTGAAACTAATGAAAATCATCTATATTTCTGTAATATGTTTTCCATTCTATCAAATGAGACCAAGAAAATGAGAATACAACCATAAATACTATTCAAAAATACACCTCAAAGTCGTTGTTTTAAGCCAAAAATACAGTCGGAGTTTTTTTTTTCTCATTATACACTGCGTGCTGCAGGATGTTTTTCATACAGTGCACACTGACCACACAGACCCATTCTCTCACATGTGGGCCTACCAGCTTTCTCCTGCTTGGTTTGAAGCCGCTAGAATTATTGAGTATACATATGTCCGAAACACTGGCTCGTGAGATGTATATATACAGCTGAAACAGCGAAAGCGTTAAATAAATAAATAAATAAGTAAATGAAATATTTATTTTTTGCAAAGGTTACAATGTGTATTTACATATCATAATATGATTGAAGCAAAGGAAGCCACTATCATGCCGAGGCATTTTGGGCAGACTTTACCTAATACTTATAGATTTCTTAAGTCTAGAAATGTGAAAAGTAGTGGCTACTATTGTTTTGATGATGGTGGTGCCAACTACTGGCACTACTGAAGTTTCTCCTTACTGTTATTATTATTATTGTTAATAATAATAATAATAATAATAATAATAATTATTATTATTAGTACGTACGTAGTGAAGGACTCTTGATCTAGGGAATTGGATCTGTGTTCCAGTTCCCTAAATTAAGCCTGAATACCTTCATCCTCTCCCCTTCACAAGCCCTTCCCCATTATATTAATATTAATAATAATAATATTATAATAATATAATACGTATAATGTAATAATGATGTATTATAATAATAGATGGCTTCAAAAGGCCGTCACTAAATGGCAGTGAATACCGCAACAATGCGAGAGCGGTTGTGGCCACCTCCACTTGGCATATCATGGCCTATTTTATTCATTCTATCGTATTATCATGTTTCTATATTATTTATATTGTTTATTATGTCATTAGATGAATTGTCATACATAAATAAGCCATAGAGTATATTTTTCCTGCCTCTGAGAGCAGAAATTCCACCGGAGTGGATTAATGGCTTTTCAGTTAATTAAAATGAGAAACGGATTAAGCTGAAGTTCCACCGTAGTGTTCCTTTTGAATTCTTCATTCTCTTCATACCTAAGCAGCTGGAACTTATTACCACTGAATGTCATGTTGTTCTCCACTGCCCACTGGAAAACTATGTTTATGTCTTCCTGTAATTTTTCAGTGTCCTTTACAGTAGTGACTTCCATGCTTATTTTAGTGTCATCTGAAAGTGATGACACAAAAGTTTGACAGGTGTTTTTACCTATGTCTGCTATGAGAATGAGAAACAGCAGAGGTGCCAGGATAATGTCTTGGAGCACTGAGCTTTTTACCTTGCTAATGCTGGATCTTGCTCTGTTACCTCTGGTACTTCTGTTACCTCTGGTACCTCACTGATTTACGAGAAACAGATCATTTGGCACTTTTTATTCCGAATAAAATTACGAGACTACTTTTTTGCAAAAAGTTTACTGGGTGGCCACAAATGGTATTGCATAAAGTGTGTGTTCACTTATATTGTTTACACTGCAGTTGCTGGTGAGAATCTCTTGATTTTATGCAAGTCTTTGCATATTTTGCTAACCATTAACCTTTGTGATTAGTTCTACAGTGCCAGTAAAACCCTAAAATTTACCACTTTGGGAGAGGTAGCAGTGCAACATTCTTTTTAAGTACATACAATAAATAAACATGCTTCATTTATGCTAATGCTTAAGTTTCCAGTAAACCATGGTGGGTCAGAGACGCACTGTTGAATTATTATTGTATGAACTCTGTAGGTCCGGCAAAATCAACATACAGGAGGGCCCTGCTTTACAGTGTTTCATTAATGCAGCAGTTTTCAATTAGACCCATTCTTCATTTATTCAGACTTCCTACAATAAATTCACCACTTACCATAAGCTAAGTTTGAAAATATTTTAAGGTAAGTAATGTGTGTACTGTATATGCATTATTTAGGCCTCGCTCTATTGCTCACTTAATGTATGTATATGACAGTGTAAACATGCTATCACGTTTTTATAAGCATTTAAAAGTGAAAAAAAACACTAATTCACTTTATAGCTATTTTTACTTTACAGCGGTAGCCTGGAACCTAACCTACTGTATGAGCAGAGCCCTCCTGAACCTGCAAAGTCTAGGAGCCAAGGTTGCTGGAAAATCAGTGTTGCACCTGTATACCTAAATAAATTAAGTATATTCATTAAGTGTATCATTCAAGCATTATAAAAATTTGTTAACACTTTATTGAACAAGAAGCTTAATAATGGAGGGATTTTTTACAGTTTGGCACATTCTAAACACATTTATACTCTGATGACTTCTGACATAACTTTCAAAGTTTTTTGTTACAACTGTGTGAGTGTCTCAACAGTTGTTATTATTACTTACAAGCTATTGTTAACTACCCTTTTCTAGGCTTAGAATGACAGTGCTTCATAATTCAATTCTTTCTTGTATTTGGGAAGGTGCTAGAGCTATTTGACTGGCTACTTTTGAATGACAAGGAGCTCCCCTATAAGGCCTCAAATACAGAGGCACTTGGGCATTACTTACCCTTTAAAGGTTATGATAATAACAGTGTACCTTGTGAGAGAGTCCAGGAGAGAGATCAGGTGGCTCAGGGGGCACAACAGCAGCGGTGTCGTCCACATGGGGTGCAAGTTCCAGCAGCTGACCAATGGTATTGCTGAGTGCAGTACGTTCTTCATCTCCATTCCCCAAAACCTGACATACTTCCTCTCCTCCAATGCTTCCACCTGCATCTGCACACACATCTTCCATCTGGTCTGCCTCTCCATCCTCGCCTGTATAGAAATCAAAGTGAATCTACTAAAATATAATGATTTTTATGCCTAAATGCAAAGCGTTCAGCTAGCATGTGATGCATTAGGAGACTTATCTCAAATATTCTGCAAGAAAGTAGACACAACCCTCTCATGTAAGGTGCTCTTGTAGTATGAAAAAATGATTAATAAGACAAGCATCAAGTGTCTGGCATTTTCCAAGTGGGCCATATGACCTTAGAAATAACAATAATCTGCTATACTATGAACAGACCTGCCCTTAGAATTAGTTCAGTGGAGTTAACCAATCAGAAGGCTGGGGTGCCAGAGGAAGGTGGCATAGTTTTGTAAGAACAAACCACTGGCTAGGCAGTTTTGTAGTATATCTTGTTTATGGATCAAAGGTTCATGGATTCCCCCCCCTCCTCCCATGAGATCTGACTGGAAGGAGAAAACTAGGGAAGGACTGTAGGAATCATATAAAGTCATGTCAGAGCTCTGAGAAACAGAGCTGTTAGCTTCACTGGAGGCAGGGAACCATGAGCTATAATGACCAGTAATTTTGAGTGGAGGCTGGAGTTCATTACAATGAGAGACAAGATCTAATCCTCAACTGGAGTGGTCTACTGGTTCTGTTCATACCTTGCCATATTTCATTCTGCATAGTAGTTCACTGCCTTATTACTTCCTGTAAACCTCACAGACCTTCAGAATTATGTTGTTGCAGTGATTTTTCTGATTAAGTATGTCAAAGATTATTCAAGTGTAATTTCACACTTATGTTATGCATTTAAGATTTACTATAGTCTAAGACTAACTATTCACTAATTACGAAATGCTTAAAGCCTACACTAACTAGTTATATCCCCTTACCCCTTTCAGGGTCCAGATGCCAAATTTCCAAGCGTGCACTAGGGTCCAAGAATTTTCCAAAAATAGTAATTTCGTTATTTTTTATGAAATGATAGAGAATCCTTTTCTGAAGGTAATAAAACAAAAAGTATGAAATTTAATGGAAAATTGATTAAATTATGCTCTTGCGAATTTTGATGTGTCAGCAATATTTACACATCAGCGATTTTTCCGACATTGGCTCCCATTTTAGGCCAATAACTTTATTCCAGTCGACCAAATTCTTAGCTATTTCACTAGTATTACTTCTATTCTATCGATTGAGTACAAGAAATTGCCAAGTCATCTGTTTCAACTGCAAAATAAAATGATCTGAAATTGGTAATTTGACCAATTTAATGCAAAGTTCAAAATATTCCAATTTCAAAATAGGGTCCAGAATAAACAATGCAGGCATTCCTGGCACTAAACTAACATTTCCTCTGTTGATTAGTTACGTTTTCAAGCTTTACAAATGAATTCCATTTTGATTTTTTATTCACATAATGAATTTTTATTCAAACCAAAAAATAGAAGATTTACTGTTATACAATATTGTAATAATTGTATAACTAATATCACCACATTTGTGAACATATATTAGACCCACCAGCTGGTGTGTATTAGATGTGTGAGGTCATTTGTTTACTCTTGAACATAAGCAAAAATTTAACATTTCTGCTACTTTGGGCTCAGTTTGAAGCCATTTAAAGTACTAAAACCAATCAAAATAATCTCTATTTCTGTAATATATCTTCCATTCTATCAAATGAGACCAAGAAATCGCAAATACAACTATAAAAAAACATACGAAAGAACACTGCAAAGTCACTGTTTTAATCGAAAATTATGGTCTCAGTTTTTTTGTCTCATTATGCACTGTGTGCTGCAGGAATTGTTTTATGTGGTGCACACATACCACAGATGTATTCTCTCAGTGAGCTGAGCTCAAGGCATAGATCTACGGTTTGGACCCTCAACGTAAAGCCGTAGATCTACGGCACGGACCCTGAAAGGGTTAAGTGGGTTACCCAATGGTGATCAAGTCTTATTTTCCTTGGGTAAGATTGCATGGCACTTCTGTGGTAGTCAGGTTCACAATTTCATTGTCCTCCATACAAGCATGCCTTTTTGAGATGCTGACTTATACACATCTTAATTGTAGCACCCTTAAATATTTTGTAAGTAGTAAGTTTTGGCCTAGACATGAAAGATGAGTCTGTGCAGTGGGGCAGGGGCAGGGGGGGGGGGGGTGTTACAGAATAATAATGAAACGCCACATGCAGTGCATGATGAGAACAGCTAACCTCTTGTGTCTGGGTTAAAATACAGACTTTCGGGGGGGCTTTTCTAGTTTTTTTTTTTTTTTTTTTTTTTTTGTCATTTCTTGAAGTCAACTGATAGACAAAACAACGTACTAGAATAAAGGAAAATATTTTGGTCGGTTTCAGACCTAAAATAGACTAAGTGGCGAAAATATTAAATTTTCCTGAGGAATTTTTCCGAGGAAGGGAAGGGTAAGAGTTCCACTACCCCCCTTGGTATGAGTTTGGGGTTTCAGTATGTCTGCTTCAATTACTGGGATAGCCTAAATCATGACCAATCATTCTTGGTCGTATTTTATTAGTCGATAAATTGGGTAAAATTTAAGATATTTTGAGTGATGACGGGTTGAAAATGGTGGAGAAGTACAATGGTACCTCAGGATACAAATTTACAATTCGCTCTGGAAGGCTGTTCAAGTGCCAATACCAAACAAATTTGTTCCCATAAGGAATAATGTAAATTAGATTAATCCATTTCAGAGGCCCAAAAATACTTAAAAAAGCACTTACATAAATACACACACATAAGTGTTCGAGTTTTGAGCTGTTCGTATCCTGAGGTACCACTGTATTATAAAGGAGAGACCTGGGGACCAAATTAAAGAACAGAGGCAAGGTTCCTTTAGTGCTGGAATGCCTAGTGTTCATTTTGGACTCTGGGTTGCCAACATAATTTTTGGTGTTATTTTCTTTAGAAAAGGATAAGAGGCTAATTTAAGTGTTTGAAGTAATAGGAAAACACCCCATTTAAGTTACCCATACTGAGGATACCTTACCTTGGAAAGGCTTAGAGTCCCTGTGTATTTAATCTTTCTTAACCCTTAGATCTGCGGCTTTACGTTCAGGGTCCAAACCATAGATCTACGCCAAAATTCTAGCGGCATCAAATTTAGCGCGAGAAGGCTGGTAGGCCTACATCTAAGAGAATGGGTCTGGGAGGTCAGTGTTCACACTATAGAAAAAATCTGGACGCCTGCATGGCATTGTGGGAATGCCGTCAAAGTAGCTTTGTTCCTCATGCCTGGCGACAAGAAAGCTCTCTTCCTACTCACTCTCCGGGCGAATTCTGACTCTCCTCTTTGCAACTTACAGTTTTAAGACTGATGGAAGTGGGGCTGAAGAGGAATTCTATGGTTTTAAACCATATGGTACCATTGTACCATATGGTACACTCGTGCCATATCATACAATGGTATTATATGGTACAATGTGCCATATGGAATGTTGTACCATATGGTACATTGTACCATATGGTACATTGTACCATATGGTACATTATACCATATGGTACATTGTACCATATAGTACAGGGTACAGGGACCCTAATGCAAGTAAGTCTGACTTTTTTGGGTTATCCTAGGTTCTCCAAACATATGCTGGTAAGTATGACATTCTATGTAACTTTATTTGTGTATACCTAAATAAACTTACTTACGATGCCACATGCACTTGAGCAAGTTTATTCAGGTGTACAGAAATACAAATACGTGGATTATTATACATAACAGCATATGTATAAAATCCTAGGATAACCAAAAAAAGCCAGGGTGACTTATTTCCAGAGGGATCCTGTATCTGTACCATATGGTGTCTTGTACTGTATGGTACCCTGTACCATATGGTACCCTGTGCCATATGGTACCCTGTGCCATATGGTACCCTGCACAATATGGAACTCTGCACCATATGGTATCCTGTACTGTATGGTACCCTATACCATATAGTACAATGTACCATATGGTACCCTGTAACATATGGTACCCTGCACAATATGGAACTCTGCACCATATGGTATCCTGTACTGTATGGTACCCTATACCATATAGTACAATGTACCATATGGTACCCTGTAACATATGATACCATGTACCATATAGTTAATAGTAGTAGTTGGTGGCACGAGACACCAGCCAAGACTGAGTGAGTAGCGACGCAACCTAGGTACTGACTCATCAGTTTCCAAGACAAAGCACTTTGTCATCCACCTGAAGGAACATGTCGAGTTCCTGTACATTTGTAAATACATAATAGAACATTACGTACTAATATACAGCATTTTTGCATATTTTTGTTGTAAACAATTATAGTAAACAAAATAATGATGAAAATATAAGCGTGCTTGTGTTGAATACAACAGTACCATATAGTACCATATGGTACAATGAACCATATGGTATCATATGGTAAGGATTATCCGCTAGGAATTTTTATTGACCTAAGAAAAGCGTTTGACACAGTAGACGGCATCCTACTCCACAAACTTGACCACTATGTTATAAGAGGCCATGCGCTTGCATACTTTAAATCCTACCTTTCTAATAGGTATCAGTATGTCACCATTAACCCTTTGAGGGTCGACAGGCCCTCTCCGAAACTCGTTCTCAGGGTCGGCCAAATTTAAAAAAAAAAAATTATTTTCTCTTATGAAAAGATAGAGAATCTTTTCCCGATCATAAAGACACCAAAAGTTTGAAATTTGATAGAAAACTTACGGAATTATGCTCTCGCAAAGTTAGCGGTCTCAGCGATGTTTACGCATCGGCGATTTTGCCCACTTTGAGCCCCATTTTCTGCCTATTTCACTGTACTAGTCGACAAAAAACATGAATATTTCGCTAGAACTCCATTTTTTCTATCGAATGAGTGCAAGAAACCACCCATTTATGAAATTCAACTATCCAGTACAGTGGTCAGAATTTAGCAATTTTGCCAATTTCACACAAATTTCAAAAGATGCCAATTTTGGAATAGGGTCCAGAATAAACAAGAAAGACATTCCTGGCACTAAAATGACATTTCCTCTAG